ATTTCATTGCTGGTAATCAGTCTGTTCAAATATTCTATTTCTTCCTGCTTCAGTTTTGGGAGGTTATATGTTTCTAGGAAGAATTCTTGTAGCTTGTCCAATTATATTCAAAGGAATTATTGATAGGTATGTACTTACTGCCATTTTGTTACTTGTTTTATGGTTGTGTTTGTGCTGCTTCTCTGTTCCTTTCTACTCTTGCTCTGTTCTCTCATGGTTTGCTGGCTTTCTTTAGTGATATACTTGGATTCCTTTCTCTATTTTTTGCATATCTATTACCGGTTTTGATTTGTAGTTACTATTTGGTTTGTATATAACATCTTATGCATATAGCAGTCTATATTAAGTTGACGTGTGTTTAAGTTTGAACCCATTCTTTACTCTTCTCCCCACCTCCTGTGTTTTAGGTGTATGGTGTCCTAGTTTACATCCTTTTATTTTGTGAGTTCCTTGACTGATTTTTATACATATACTTATTTTTGCACTTCCTACTTTTCTTACTCCTAGTTACGATTTTTCCTTTCCACCTTGAAGAGTCCCCTTTGACATTTCTTATAGGGCTGGTTTAGTGGTCATGAATTCTTTTAACTTTTGTTTGTCTGGGATACTCCTTTATCTCCTATTCTGAATGATAGCCTTGCTGGATAGAGTATTCTTGGCTGCAGGTTTTTTCCTTTCAGCACTTTGAATATATCATTCCACTCCCTTCTGACCTGCCCAGTTTCTGCTGAAAAATCAGCTGATTGCCTTATGAGGTTTCCCTTGTATGTAACTGTTTTCTTTTCTCTTGCTGCTTTTTAAAATTCTCTCTTTATCACTACTTTTTGCCATTTTAATTACTGTGTGTCTTGGTGTGGGCCTCCTTGGGTTGATTTTATTGGGGGATTTCTGTGCCTACTGGATCTGAATTTCTGTTTCCCTCTCCAGATTTGGGAAATTTTCAGATATTATTTTCTTGAAGTAAATTTTCTGCTCCCTTTTCTCTCTCTTCTCCTTCTGAGATCCCTATAATGCAAATGTTATTACACTTGATGGTGTTGCTGAGGCCCTAAGACTATTTTTATTTTGTATTATTATTTTCTCTCACCTGTTCAGATTGATTGCTTTCCATTACTCTGTCCTCCAGGTTGTTGATCCATTTTTCTATTTCCTCTAGTATACTATTCATTCCATCTAGTGTACTTTTAATTTATTGTGTTATTCATCTCTGATTGGTTCTTTTTTATGTTTTCCATCTCTTTGTTCAGGGTCTCACTGATGTCCTTTACTCTTTTTTCAGTGAGCAGCGTTATAACCATTATTTAGAGTTCTCTCTCAGTCATATTACTATGTCCATTTCACATGGGTTTCTTCCTGTGATTCTGCCCTGTTCTTTCATTTGGGACATATTCCTCTGTGTCTTCACAAACCTCCCTCCCCTATGCCCCATGCATTTTTCAAACTGCTTCTTCTCTGCTGTATCCTGCAGGGCTGTCTCTTGTGCTCTCCCTTTAAGGGCAGGGACTCAGTTTCCTCTCTCCCTCCAGGCTCTCCCAGAGCTGAGCCTGCTGATGTTTAAAGTTCCAGGTTTTAAGTCCTGCTGATTATAAGAATTTGCAAAATTGAACCCCTGTAGTTTTCTAAGCCAAATGTTATGGGGATTCATTTTTCCTCTGTGGGCTCCTCAGTGTGAGGGTCTATTTCTCTCCCCTCTCCATGCCCGCAGCATCCCTCCCTCCAGTGGACAGTCCTGTGGTTCCATTTAGCCCCTGACTGTGTCTCCACCCTTCCTGCCCTCTTTGATATGGCATCTTTTCTACATTTAGCTGTGGAGAGTTTGTTCTTCCAGTCTTTGATCATTTTCTGGGTTATTTACACTGATATCAGTGTTACCTAATCATATCCATGGGATGAGATGAGCTTAGGGTTCTCCTACTCTACTGTCTTCCCTGGAAGCTCTCATCACTTTAAGTACAACATAAATTTAATCCTTTCTTTGTAGAAGTAATTAAAGATTTTTAAAAAAGATTTTATTTATCCATTCATTTTTAGAGAAAGAGAGTGTGTGTGTGTGTACCTGCATGCAAGTGGGGGGAGGGGTAAAGGGGGAGGGAGGGGGACAAGCAGACTGCACTGAGTGTGGAGCCTGATATGGGGCTCAGTCCCACAACCCTGAGATCATGACCTGAGCCAGAATCAAGAGTCAGCTGCTTAACCGACTGAGCCACCCAGGCACCCCAATTAAAGACTTCATCCATAGTACTTTGCCCTAAATACTAATCCTTAGGATACGTATTAAATAGTCTTTTCCTGGAATATTAGGTTAAAGTGTTTTTCCTTGCAATGTGTCCTGATCCAAGAACTGGTTCCTGATAGAATAAAGTCTGGCTCTCCTACTAATGCTTCCATGGGATATATATATACCTATTGGCTTGTTTATATAAGAGTCAGTCTTGGGGCGCCTGGGTGGCTCAGTCGTTAAGCGTCTGCCTTCGGCTCCGGTCATGATCTCAGGGTCCTGGGATGGAGCCCCGCATCGGGCTCCCTGCTTGGCGGAGAGCCTGCCTCTCCCTCTCCCACTCCCCCTGCTTGTATTCCCTCTCTTGCTGTCTCTCTCTGTGTGTCAAATAAATAAAATCTTTAAAAAAAAAAAAAAAGAGTCTTATGAATGTTATGAATATTTCATCAATAATGTATTAAGTATCAAGATTTAGAATAAAAATATGGTTTGTACTCTTGAATGGAGATAGAACTCTAGGAAGAGTGTGACATAAGACCAAACTGTATCAGGGTGCTAAGGGAGCTTGCGGGGAGAGTCAGTCCAAGGCAGCAGCTTCACTAGTTAATGGTGTTTGAGCTGTATTTCAAAGGACCGATAGAAAGTCATGTTGCTTATAAATAGTACAAAGGGTATTCAAGGCAGCAAGAATATAAAATGCAAAGGAGTGATGATTAGATATGGGCTGGGAGTTAGATAGGACTGGAGTTTATGCCTTGGAAGGAGAGAGAGGGTCTGGCTGAGTGTGCTGGCTGTAGATTGGGGACCAAAGGCACTCATTCCTTATCTGCAAGCAGTAAGGGGGTCAGCAAAGGGCTTTGAACTAGAAATGGGAGCCAACTGGAGGTCTTATTTCAGTAATCTAAAGATGAAGGGGCTCAGAATGGAGAGTGTAGGGTAGTAATCATGAGTAAACGTGGAGGCTGTCAGGAGGAAGTGAGAATGATTTCTATTTGGATGACTAAGTTGATGGTGATTTCTTTGGCAAGATAGAGGATGTAGTTTCAGATATGTTGTAAGGTGCCAGGAGAATATTCCGTTAGTAATATTCATTGGCACATTAGTTTTAGGTCATCCCAGAAGCAAATGCCAAAATGAGATTTAGGTGAGCATGAGATTTATTTGGAGAAGCACCTGTAAGGGAGAAAGGAGCAGGAGCCTGAGGAAGTGGGGACAACTGTCAGACTGCAGTCCCAGTGTGGATCTGATCCTGTGTTAGGGGTCCCCGGGATCACCTTAGGGTCACTGATTGACTGGGAGGACTTAGAGAACTTACAGAGTCATACTGATGACTTAATTTATTACAACAAGAGAATTCAAAGCAAAACCAGCAAGGGGAAGAGAGTGCATGCAGTGGATTCTGAGGGAAACCAGGCACAGGTTCCTAAGAATCTTCTCCCAGTGCGGGCCCAACAGGACATAATTCCTCCAGCACACGTGAGATTATGTTCACCACGGAGGCTCATTTAGGGACTCAGTGCCCAGAGTTTTTCTTGGGTGCTGGTTGAGTAGGCAGCCTCTTCCTGGCACATACCAAATCCAGATTTCCAGAAGGAAAAGCAGGTTTTCAGTATAAACCACATTGTTTGTACCAGTGACCTGCCATTTAGGATGATGGATGATGTTCTTCTCTCATGCTGGGTGATGAGTCTGCCTCAAATCCCTGTCTCACACCACCTGTTTTCTTGGATTATTTTCTGTACTACTTGTGTCAGTTCCTATCATCTGAGAAGCAGAAGCCAAGATGGGATTAAATGTGTAAGACATTTATCGGGAGAAAGGCCTGTGAGGGGAAGGGGGGGACACAGAAGTGGGGGGAAGCATCAGACCACAGTGTAGGTGTGCCCACCCCTTGAAGGAGAGAGGGAAGGGGGAAGAGGAGGTTGAGTAAGTGCAGTGTCAGAGTACGGTGTTCCAGGAAAGTTTCAGCTGGGTCATCGGTGAGACATCCATCAGCGTTGCCCATCAGAGGAGTCCTGTGTCTTGCAGGAATGGGCCAGCCATAACTAGCTCAGGCCAGCCCATGGGGAGTATGGCGTGGGCATGCATGTGACGCTAGATCCACAAGGGCAGCTGTTTAGAAGTCATCTCTGTAGTGTAAGTTTTGAAAGTGATTGAAATAGTCCAGGAATAAGAGGATTGGTGAAGAAGTCCAAAACAGAACTTCTAATAAGACATTAATATTGAAATGGTGAGCAGAGATGAAAGGAGCCAACGTAGGAGGCTGCACAGTGTTTTCAGAGTTAGAATAAGACCCATGTAAGAGAAAAGAGGAGCCAGTTGTATTAAATGTTATAGAGAAGTCCAGTAGGATGAAGAGGCTGTTGATGAGCTTTGCTTTGCTTTGCTTTCCTTTTCTTTCTTTTCCTTTCCTTTCCTTTCTTTTTTTCTTGTTGGTGAGCTTTTTTTTGTTTTTTCTTTTTAATTTCTTCTTATTTTATTATTTTATTACGTTATGTTAGTCACCATACAGTACATCATTAGTTTTTGATGTAGTGGTTGATGAGCTTTCTGAGATCATTTTCAGTGGATTTCAGGGAACAGGTTGGTGCAAGTCGATAGAGACATGAATGTATACTACTTTTTGAGAATGGGAAAAATCTTTCCAAACAGGGGCGGTTGGCCGGCTTAGTCGGTGGCACGTGTGACTCTTGATCTCAGGGTTTTGAGTTCAAGCCCCATGTTGGGTGTAGAAATTACTTTAAAAAAATCTTTAAAAAAAAATCCCTTTCCAAATAAACAGTATTTAGTTTACTTAGATCCATAAAGAATGTAAAATCAAGTGATGACCTGTCTGTTAAATTTCTCAGAATTCAGCATTCTTCTGGTAGACGAACACAAAGAACTGAGAAGGAAAGAAGAGAAATTCAGGTGTGGATGAAAAGAAAACGCAAGGAAAGAATGGCAGAGTACTTAAACCAGCTGGCGGAGAAGAGAGGGCAAGAACATGACCCTTTCTGCCCGAGGAGCAATCCAGTAAGTGTGCAATATCAGGGGCAATGGGCAGTGGGATAGCACTGAATACGTGCAGTGTTTCCCTGGCAAATATTCAAGAAAAGGATTGACGTAATTTGGATGCATTTTTTATTAGACAGAAATGTCACCATTTTACTTGTCAGAAAATGTTAATTACCTTAACAAAACATAGCAGGGTATTCTACAAACCATGTTCTGTTGAGCTATCTTAAATACTTTTTCTTCCCCAGGCTAATTATGGCTCTCGCTGATTTTAACCAAGTGAAGAGACTGAGTGATTGGTGACCAGTTGGAGCTGTTCCCTTAATTTTCAGTGAGAGTCAGTGGCAGTTGAACAACTGACTGTGTGTAGTAAAGCCATTTAAAAAAATAATTTTGTATCCACAAGTTATCTACAAAAAATAGAGTATGGTTCAGTCAGGTACCAAGGGTACAGTGGAGTGTGTGTGTGTGTGTGCACGCGTGTGCATGTGTGTCAGCTGCCCTTTAAACTGTCCACATGTATGCACTGAGCCCTGACCATGGGCATCACCGTGGCTGGTCAGAAGCAGTTTTCTTCAGAAGGTGAAATAAAGCAATGTTACTTTGATAATCACATTACTATGAAAACTGCATTTGAATTACGCTTAGTTTATCTTTTACTTTGTAATTGGAAATAAAATACAATAGTACTTAATCTTTTTCGACATCGTTAGGGGAACATGTTCTATAAAAGTGAATTTTCCAGATATGGCTATCACATTTAAACACCAAATGGTGCAAAAGTAGGTGAACTAGTACATAAATTGCATACTTGTGTCTAGAGAAAGCATGTTGGTGTTAATATAACTTTTTTTTAAGAGAGAGAGAGCATGTGTTCGCGTATATACACACGAGTGGGAGGGAGGGGCAGAGGGAGAGGGATAGAATCCTAAGACCCTGAGATCATGACCTGAGCCAAAATCAAGAGGTGGAGGCTTAACCGACTGAGCCACCCGGGTGCCCTGATGTTAATACAACATTGTGTGGAGAGTGTTGAGGACCCGGTAATGACCATCAAGGCTGCTGAGGCACCTGACTAGAAGCTTCAAGTGCATGTGTTTATGTGTGTGCTCCTCCCCCGCCAGGCGGGGGGTTCTGATATCGGCCTCTCTGTCAACCAAGCAAATACCCCAGATAGTTAGAATTGTGTCCAAATTTAGAACAAATTAACTCTGAGGGCACTGGGATTGCTTGGTTCTTTGACTTTGTGACTGTTCCTTCACAACTGCAAGCACCTGTTTATTTTTAGCTTCTATTTAGGTGAAGGTATGGGATTAGTGAGGGGTTAATGTGATTAAAAATTTCATTTGAATTTATATCAGAAATTAATAAGACCTTTAATTTGTCACTCACTGCTTCCATGTAGGACCTACAGAGAGTGCATGCACTTCTGTGTGCACATTTTTATATACAAAATTTTGTGTAAAAGGACTTGACTTCATTCGTAACTCAATAGTAACTCTTAATATTCTGGAATAAGACACTTGCTAGTTTGCCTCCTGGTGCGTAAGTTTTGAGGAGTTTTCAAGTCGCAATGAGCATACTACATTAGGTGACTGGTAGACATTTTAAAACATCAAAATGATAGCTTTAGAGGTCTGACTTCTTTCTGCTTTATCAAGCACACTGTTAGTGAGATTAATCACAAGACTGAGTATGAAGTGTATGTGTCTTCATCCTTAAAATGTTTCCCATCTTAAATGCAGCTGACACTGTATGTTAATTAATTGAATTTAAATTAAAATAAATGCAGCTGATAAGGTTCTCTCTTGAGAAAATACATGAATTTAGCATTCTACTTATTTTTTTTTTTTAAAGATTTTATTTATTTATTTGAGAGAATGAGAGAGAGAGAACAGGAGAGGGGGAGGGTCAGAGGGAGAAGCAGACTCCCCGCCGAGCAGGGAGCCCGATGCGGGACTCGATCCTGGGACTCCAGGATCATGACCTGAGCCGAAGGCAGTCGCTCAACCAACTGAGCCACCCAGGCGCCCCAGCATTCTACTTATTAAACTAGTTTTTAATTACATGATGCTTTAACATTTTCATGTTTGGTGCTTGGGATAGGAAGCTTCATCAAATATGACCGTGTTTTGCACTGTTTCCTGAATAGCAAAAATATGTTTTAACCTCCTATTAAAATTGATTAGTGGAATTTTCATGTTTCCCATGGATCACAAGGGCTTAATTATTTGAACTGAACCATAATGGACTAACTGGGTATTTCTCATGCAGTTTTACATGACTTCACGGGAAATCAGGCTGAGACAGAAGATGAAGAACGAGAAGGACAGGTGAGCCTGGGTAGCTGGACCCCCAGCACGCTTTCCAGTTTGCACACCTGAGGCACAGACAATGCCTGAGGAACTCTGGTCTTCACAGTAGCCCCTTTTTGTCCATAAACAGAAAATTATGAGAGATAACTGCAAGGAAAATAGACTCTACTAGGCTTTTTAGGAATTTGCTTTCAAATATCATTTATTCCATTGAATTTTCATGATTTTTATTTCTGCTATTGCCCTCCCTCTCCCAATCCAGATATGTATGTGCATTTTGGAAAATACCCAAAGGGCCATAACTACAGGTACCTTTACTAATTTCCGCCTAATTGATTTCAGAAATCTGAAATATGAATTTGCATTTGAAAAGCATTGAAAAAAACAAATGCTAGGCAATCTTCAAACATTACATTCCCTCTAGAGGTATGAACTGAAAATGACTCTTTTATTAAATGTTGTTTAATTCTTTGTCTGAAGATTGCTACTCTCTGACCACTATAGTCGGCGGATCTCACAGGCATATAGTCTGATGAATGAACTGTTATCTGATTCAGTACAACTACCAACAACTGCACAGAAAGCCTTGCCTAACAAACCCAGAACTGCTCACATTTCCCGAGAGCAACACTCTCTTTCTCCAAGAAGGTAAGACAGAGTTTGGCATGTTGTTCAGCAAGATTATGTCAGGCCTGATAAGAATTTAGTGCTTTTGTCACCCAAGTTCAGTGTATTTGCATCTACCCTGCTCAGAAATAAGAAAATCAAGAAAAACATGGTCCCATAATTACGACGTCTTGATAAGTTTATAGAATCACCAAGGAAAAAGATAACAATGTCATTACATCTCTAAGATATGACAAAGCACTTTGGCATACCTAATATAATTTTGATACCCGTTCAATTCCATTTCCTCCTTTTCTGTAATCTGCCACGTAACTGTTCTCCCTGTTTCTCCACTTGGCTCTACTCTTACAGAAACAGTCCTCGCCAGCTTATCACTTCTTCTCTGTCTCTTCCCAACACAAACCCACATGTAATCAGATCACTTGTGTGTGTATAATTTGGGGTCTACTCAAAATACCAGAGACTCCCTTGAATCTTTTCTAATATAAAGCAGGGTATTAAATACATAAATAACTGCCAAATACATAGATAATTTGAAATGGACAGATAACCAAAAACAACTTCTTTATTTTTTTTTTATTTTTTATTTTTTTAAAGATTTTATTTATTTATTTGAGAGAGAGAGAATGAGAGAGAGCACATGAGAGGGGGGAGGGTCAGAGGGAGAAGCAGACTCCCTGCCGAGCAGGGAGCCCGATGCGGGACTCGATCCAGGGACTCCAGGATCATGACCTGAGCCGAAGGCAGTCGCTTAACCAACTGAGCCACCCAGGCGCCCCCAAAAACAATTTCTTTGAAAGAAACAAGTTTAAGGTGTGAGACATGAAGAATAATTTGTTGAGAATTGTTATAACACGAAATGTATCACTAAGGTACAGAATAAGCAATGTCAAGTGAATGTATTAATTTGAGCTAGAATTTGGGTCTTTTGAAATGTAGTTCATTACTGATATGAGATTCTAGGAATATAATAATTATGTAATTTCTACTTTAGAGAGAATCAATATGGTCACAATATTCCAATAAATCAACCTGGAAAATTCAAATATATATCCAGACCAAGTTACATCCGAAAGGGGAAACCTCAAGGCCCTCCTTGGTCACGTGGTAAGACTTTTTTTTTTAAATTGTAAATTTTGTATAATTTGGACCTCCTTGTCTCCAGAGTTGGTTTTCATTAGTAAAATGAAATCTTAGTGAAAAGCAGTTCTCATTCCAGCAGAATACAAGTTGCAGGATTGATAAAGACTTACCTATGCTGGGATTTTGTTTGTTCTATTGCTTTGAAATAGGAAGACTCCAGAAATCTTAAACAAATGGCCTTTTTATAATAAAATTTGAACAGTCAATATTTAGATAAGACTTATTTGGGAATCTGTTTCTTTTGTGTGTCTGGCTAAAGAGGTAGGCATTTTTACAGATCAAGTTCTTATAGATGTCAGGATGGACTTAGATAGATAGGTATTAGGATATCACAGAAGAGGAATACTATGAGGCTCATATTGAAATACCATGTTTTTATCTTTTGAACATCCTTTTCCACATTTGAAGATATAATATCTGTTATTTATTGCTAGCCTTCCTTTAGTTAATTTTGCCATATTTGGGTTTTGATTGCCAGAGTAAAACATACTTATTTTGTGAAATGATTACACATTAAAAATGTATAATCATAGGGACGCCTGGGTGGCTCAGGCGGTTGAGTGTCTGGCTTTTTTTGTTTAAGATTTTATTTATTTGAGAGAGAGAGAGCACAGAGGGAGAAGGAGAAGCGGACTCCTCACTGAGCAGGGAGCCCGACACGGGGCTCGATCCCAGGATCCTGGGATCATGACCTGAGCCGAAGGCAGACGTTTAACGACTGAGCCACCCAGGCGCCCCAAGTGTCTGGCTTTTTTATTTTGGCTCAGGTCATGATCTCAGGGTCATGATATTGAGCCTCACATCAGGCTCTGCACTCAGTGTGGAGTCTACTTGGGGTTCTCCCTCTGCTCCTCCCCCTGCTCGCACTCTCTCTCTAAAAATAAAGAAAATCTTTAAAAAACGTATAATCATAGTTAATATGTGGTATAAATGCAGACAGCTTTTAGCTGTATAAAAACTAACGTGCCAGGTTCTGGTTACACTCTTTAGTTACAAATGTTCCCATTTGAGAAAACCCAGGCAGAGAAAGTTGAAATAACTGCCTAAGATCAGATAGCTCGGAAGTAGCAGAGCTGGGATTTAAACTCAGTCTGGGTCTAGAGGCTACACACTTAGAACCTATGCTTTATTATGCTGCCTCAATTTAGAAAATTGAAATTTCCATAAATTCCAGTCCTCTTAATAAAACTTCATAGTTTAACTCTTGCTCTTGATTAACAAATTACAATAAGAAAACAGTGCTCTTTTTAAACTAAGATTTCAAAATAGTAACCATGTTTTCTTTTTTTAATTTTTATTTTACACCTGATACATTTGCCAAAGTTAAAGAAATACCAAAAATTGGAAGGATTTTAAACTTGAATCCACAGTTTCTTTTTTTTTAAAGATTTTATTTATTTATTTGAGAGAGAGAGCATGAGAGGGGGGAGGGTCAGAGGGAGAAGCAGACTTCCCGCCGAGCAGGGAGCCCAATGCGGGACTCGATCCCGGGACTCCAGGATCATGACCTGAGCCGAAGGCAGTCGCTCAACCAACTGAGCCACCCAGGCGCCCCAATCCACAGTTTCTTAATATCAGATGGAAAAGTCTTGGATTCTGTGGAAATGTGTCTTTGTCTTGGGTCTGTCCAGTGTCAGGCCTGCATGGTTACGCTGCACTCGCCTGGGCTGAGGCCTCGGCCCTTCTTTGGTCGGCTCCCTGCCCTTGCTGGACTGTCCTCGAGAGGTGCTCCTGCACGCTGGGTTCAGAAGCCCTCAGGGACCCCCACCCCACACAGCCCAGTCCAGAGCTCATCCCCGGCCTTCGGGGCAGCCTCCCCCTCTTCCTTCTTAGCCCCTTTCCCCCATCTCACAGGTGCTGCGAGCCAGCTTGCTTTCCAGCCACAGGCTGTGCTTGGCACTCCTCTCTCCCCTCAAAAGTCTCCCTCACCTTGAATGCCTCACCTCTGTGTTTTGGAAGCCATCCCTCATCTTAATTCTTCAGTTCTTCTAAACTGATGTCATGAATTCTAAATTGGGGCCAATACTTAACTGGCCTGGTGGTTGTATCAGCGACAACTGTCTCAGCTGCCCTTGCTGCCATTTATTTGTGTCCTCTGGCCGCCTGGTCACGTTGGTGAGTCTTAGGCGTTGCTGCCACAGGTCTCACGTAGTCACTGGTAAACTTGTCCCACTTTTGTCCCATGCTAGACTGAATCTTTTGAAGGTAGCAACACTGTCTTCTCTATCTGGTATACCACTCACACTGAACAAATGAGATTATTGAATACTTGGATACATGAAAAAAATGGCTGTTTAGCTTTTCTGACTAAAAATAGCTATTTATAAACTACTATTTTTAGTCAGAAAAGCTAAACTACTGTTGTATTCATACTATGTCCGAGAAGACCACCGTGTAACTCGCCATCATCCCAGCTCACCTGTCCCTTAGCTTCCCCAGAAGCGGAGAGACAAAGGCAACTGGAGGGGTTGGTGACCATGCTGGCTTCTATCCAGGTTGCGCCTTAGTGTGACCTCTACCACCCCCAGAACCCAGCGTTTCCCCTGGCTACATTCCGAGGCTTCAGGTCCCCCAGGATTGTGGGGCAGTGGGAGAAATGCATGCATGGTGGATCCCAGGCCCTCCCCTAGTTGGTGACGCAGATCCCCGGGGCCCACGTGAGGCAGTTCAGTCAGTGCAGATGGGGAAGTGAGGACTCACCAAGACTTTTAAGTTCACTGCAGCTCGTTTGTAAAAGAGTTTTTCTGAAGATGCTTATGTGTCTGACTATATGTTGTTGTCTGTCTTGTAAAGCAGTGTGTCGTTTCTGGCAAATATCTCCAGCTATTATGCTTAGAGATCTCCCTGCCTTTTTTTTTTTTTTTTTTTGGCTTGTTTTATGTTTAGTTCTATCAAAAACAATATAAAGGCTATATGATAAGTAACTGAGAGGCATCAAAAACATAAAAAAAGTTCCAGCCTTTCGAATCATCCAGGCCTACATTCATATCCCAGCTCTGCTGCTTACTTGGTGCCCTCAATTATGTTATTTAAAACCTAACTCATAGGGGTGTTGAAGGTAAAAAGTAAAACTTTTGCATAACGTAAATAATACATGGTGGTTATTAATCCTGGAATTTAAGAAATCTTAGTGAATCATTCTTTTGATAACATCTAACCTGGCATTCTGTCAAGGTGTTTCCTGCTAATAGGCGTATGTGGCTGGCTTTTCCAGTTGCCCAAGAGGTTGTGAAGGCACATTTGCCAGTTTGAGAAAGGACCGTGGTCCTGCTATGAGGATACCAAGTTTCAAAGGAGAGCTTTCCCTTCCTTCATCTGCACTTTTGTTTTGCTTTCTTGGTTCAAATCAACCACCATATATTGGGCACCCTCCTAATCAGTAGTTTCTGTCTTCAAAGAATGTACAGTACAGTATGTGAAACATCATGGCCGCATACAGAAGGTTAAAGAAGTTTGCCTGTTTCTGCAGGAACTGCTACTTCTGCCGTACAGAGGAAAGGTGCTGGAGCCAAAGCGGAAGTAAGAGTGGCTGTGCCATCTCCAGTTACCTTCCAAAAAGGTAAGGGAGAAATAGGAATAACTTTATTTCTTCAACTTAAATTTTTAAAAATTGTAAGACCCTCTTAGAAATTTCAAATACAGATTTCAGAATGAAGGGTATGGCGGTGTTGTAGAGTGGTTTAGGGAACAGGCTGCGGAGTTAGCTCTTTAGAATCGTAGTTCACCACTTACTCTCTAGCTCTGGGCAAATTCCTGACCCATTTGTGTAAGCCTCAACTTTCTCACCTGTAAACTCCAGATTATTAGAGTGAGAACATATATTATGGGCTTAGCAGAGTACTGAACATAAACACAAGTATTCAGAGGGGGCCGTTGTCACAGAGTCATGCAGCACACAGACCCTTAAGTTTGGGGATTCTGAAGTAGCTAGAGAGTGAAATGGTCATGATCTTAATGCCTAAGAATTCAGATCTAGCCCTGGCCCACCCCTCGCCCCGTGTTACTCTTCACCATTTAAAAAGTACATTCACATGATTCTCCCGTGAGCTCTCCGTAACGGCCCTGGTAGATAGATAGGGCACCTGTGATCCCCGTCTTCCTGCTGAAGCCAGGGAGGCTTAGGGAATTGATGCTTGATGCCAAGCATTGTATTAACACTGCCTGTTCATGATCTCACTTAATCCTCACATTAACTGAGTGAGCTCTATGGCATTATCCTGATTTACAGAAAGAACTACATTTTGGTAGGGACAACGACGCAAACACTGATTATATGTAATATAAAAATGATGAGAAACATGAAAGAGTCTATTCCTGCCCTCAGGCCTCTCTCCAGTGCCACCATCTTCCAGTTCACCGCCTCTCTCTTCAGCTGCGTCTGCTCTTTAACCTGTCAGGTGTTTTACTGTTGATGGCTGTATTTCCTAGAAATTCTCTTTGGTTCTTTTTCCATGGTTTTCCCCCACTCAATGCCTTAAAACCCAAGGCTGTAATTACTAGGATCAGTTTGAGTGCTAGAAGCATCATTTCCTGTGCTTTTAATTGTATAATCCCAGACTTTTTTTTTTCTTTCAAAGTCTCCATTTTAATCTTTTATAAAGTGTTTTCTAGTTTAGAGTACCCCAAAGCTATTTTATTATTTTCTTTCTTT